ATTATTTTTAAATAAGTATTTCAAATATATCAACGCAATATGATATGGAGATGTTTATGCATATGTAAATAAATATTGAATTTGTTTATTTAAATCGGTAATTCAAAATATATAAATGCAAGATAATATTTATTGAATTTTCTAATCGATATTTGGTAGTGGTAGTTTTCTCCTACATGTTTCATGCATTGTGAGATGTGTGTCGTAGGTTATCATGTGAAAGTATTGAACAAAATATTAATATTTATTATATTTGTATAAAATACTTGGTAAATAAATAAATAAATAAATAAATATATATATATATATATATATATATATATATATATATATATATATATATATATATATATATATAAAATGTATTTTGTATTATAACTTTGATATTTAATTACAAGATAATGTAAAAAGAAGACAATGGACAATGCAGTGAATATAATAAATTAATAAATTCGAAGGTAATGAATCTTTGAATTGTAGAAAATAAAGATAATATAACTAATGAAATTATATTTATTTTTAAAATTTTTATAATGAATAATTTTTTTTTTAAATAAAGGCATTATAGACATCTAATTCTAAATTAATTAAATGCATATGTATTATTTTTTGTTGTAGCTACTACTTTATTTAGTTTATTAAGAGTAATAAAGTGGCGTATATACTTTTCATCAACAATAATGCAATCATTGATTTTTTTTAAAAAAAAAATACATACAAAAAATATTAATGCAAAAGTATAATTGAAATATTAAGTTTTTTTTCTGATCTAAATAATCAAAAGAATATTAAGTTTTTTTCTGATCAAATGATTTTTAAAGTTCTTGATTTATAATCTTTGATACTTAACTTTGAATGTTATGTATTTAGTCAGACTAATTATTTGAACAAAGTTTATGTTGAATTTTATATTATATATATTTTAAATATATTTTAACATATTCGTAGTATATGTTTAACAATTATGCCAACTCTAATTGGGATGTGGTTCGAAACTAAGACTTTTCTTATAGAAATTAATGTGTAAGTTAAAATAATAAATACTTAACGGAATATTTCATTACTAAAGTTTATGCTAACGGAATTTAGGTTATTTAAGGGAAGAAAATAATATAATAGAGGGTAAAAAGAAAAATTAATAAAAAATACTAAAATAAAAATAATATGTACCATTCATTTTAAGAAACAATAGTATAATATCAACCATTCATTTTAAGAAACAATAGGACCGACATTTTTTTGTTCCAGTTAAGGGCCTAACATTATTGGCTCTTATTAGAATTGTAAAAACAATAGGACCGACATTTTTTTGTTCCAGTTAAGGGCCTAACATTATTGGCTCTTATTAGAATTGTATAATTGTAATTGTAGATGTAGATGTAGATGTAGATGTAGATTGTAGATGTAGATTTATTCCTATTGTATTTTCTTTTATTACATATTTAAATTTACTTGCCTCTACGGAATAGATAAGTACACATTTAAAATATATAGAAAATAACTTCAAGACAAAAACTGAGCTGGATTAATCATGGTGTTTAGTGAACTTTGTCGTAAAACATAGTATTATCACAAGTAGAAAAACAACATAATACCTAGTCGTCTATGAGAGTCAACATCACTTTGAAAGCTTCTAAAGTGGAAACGATAGAATTAAAAGTGAGGAGCTGGAGTGAAAATGATGGTAAATAGTATTCGGCACATTTGTGATTGGTAAATAGTATTCGGTACATTTGTGATTTGTCCAAACATAAAAGTATAAAACCCTCTTTTGGAGTCTGTTTGGATGACTTGTGATTTACCTCCTCATATATATTTAAATATAAATTATTTAATAATTTAATTTTAGAAATTGTTGTTGTTGTTGTTGTTGTTGTTGTGGTGAAACGTATCGACAACTCAAAGAGCAGCTTATGCAATGAGGATGCATTTAAAATGAAAATACAAAGTAAATAAGTTTTAGATTTTACATTTTTAATTAATATATAGGTTTAAATTAATTGTAATAATATATTTAATTGAAATATAAATGAATGATATTTTTAATTATTTTATGAATATAAATTATTATTATTTTAAATATAAAATAATACCATAAATTAGTGGAGGCGAACAACGGACAAGGGTTTGACCTCTTCTTAGCAGTTATTAGAAAAATAATTAAGGGTTTTAATTTGGTCGATAATGGGAGATTATGATTGTTGGGATTCTGATCTGATAGCTCCATCTCTAAAAGCAACATCACAAATGACAAATAAAATCAACCGGCAAAAGAAATTTCTTTCACATACAAGCTAAAAGAAAAATGACAAAAGGCAAAAAATCAAATGAGTTGCTCAAATATACAGTGAACAATAACAACAGCTAATACATTTTTTTTTTTCTTTTTAAATAATTCTATGTAATTTATTTATTTGAGTTCATGATCTAGCTTGCACTCTCCAAGGTAAGTAAGTTTTCAATGTTATATTAATGTTTGGAAGAAAAATGGTAAGTATATTCTTCTTTTTTTTTTTTTTTTTTTTTTTGAAAAATGGTAAATATATTCTTAGTTACAATGTAAAACTGAAACATAAAAAGGAAATGGATATATAAGTTTAAAGCGTGAAAAGGCATAAAGTTTAAGGGGTGCAAACTGCAAAGAAGCAGAAAGTTTAAGGAGTTAAAAGCGCAAAGGTTGAGGGGATGGTTAGATGGGGTACAAAGTGTAAAGAAATGAAAAGTTTGTGCTATTTAAACAATATTATTAATTATATAATATTTATAGTTTCATAAGAGAACACAGATTAAATTATTATACAAAACCTCAAAATTTTCAAGACCATTTTCTCCATAATTTCTTAATTATATATATTAATTCCCATCTGCCTGTCCAAAAGTCACTTTTGGTAGCTTTTGCATGTTGGTTGTACAATAATTGAATCAATCCCAAATCATAGTTCTTTAACCAGTACTATCGAATGCACAAGCAATAAGTAACAGCTTTTCATTTCCAGTTTTGGGAAAAGAGAAATTAGAAAGTATATATGAATTAAAATTTTAATGTACCTTAAGGTACGGTGCCATGGATGGCAGTAATTTGACACAATCAAGTTTTACCTTTCTGTTCTAATATTTTTCTCTTTCTTTAATTGAAAGGTGACAAATATTCAAGAAAAATACTCTAATTCATAACCAATAGCTATCGCTAGTAACGAATGCGTAATTTTATTTTCTTATATTTGTATAGCAGTCAATGGTACGGTTGAATGACATGGGAGCGTTATGCTGTGTAACCGAGTGCACCATGCATGGTGCACACGGTTGCAAAAAGACGTCGTTTTGACGTCCGACTTAAAAAAAAAAAAAATCAATTTCGATTGCCGTTAACGATGTTATGTTGTGCATAATTTGAACTATACATCCATAACTTCATAATTATACATTCAGAATTGTATAACTACACATCCATAACTTCATAACTATACATTCAGAATTGCATAAGTACACATCCATAACTTCATAACTATACATTCAAAATTGCATAACGTACTACACATCTATAACTTCATAATTTTATACATTCAGAATTGCATAACTACACATCCATAACTTCATAACTATACATTCAGAACTGCATAACTACACATCCATAACTTCATAACTATATATTCAGAATTGCATACATAACTACACATCCATAACTTCATAACTATACATTCAGAACTGCATGCATAACTACACATTCATAACTTCATTAACTATATATTCAGAATTGCATGCATAACTACACATCCATAACTTCATAACTATTTATTCAGAATTGCATGCATAACTACACATCCATAACTTCATAACTATACATTCAGAATTGAATAACTACACATCTATAACTTCATAACTATACATTTAGAATGTGAAATTATAAAATTATGAACATATGATTACGTAAATAACGGCAATCAAAAATGATTTTTTTTTAAAAGTAAAACAACGTCGTTTTTACAATATGGTGCACACGATTGCACAACATAATTTGCTAATGACATGATATTGGACTCGTCCTTTCAAGTCGCCGCCCAACATATAAATTAAAGAAAAATGAGAGTTAAATAAATATTTGGTTTGATCAATGTTGTGTGACGATCTAATGAAGTGTTTTTTTTTTTCTTTTTTTTTTTTAAAAAATTAAAATGTTTCCTAAGCCAAGTTGTGTGGCAGCCATTTGTTGTGACTTGTGAATGTATAGACGGCCCTTGAATTGTGCCCTTAGCTTGCATGTTTCCTATTAAGGAACCGAAAGATATATAGAAAGAGAGAAACGACGACAGCTTATAAGACGTACTAAGAGTGCCTTTCTTAAAGTCATTAAATAAATTATAAATCATCCTTTAATTTGCTATTTAATATGTAAGCAAGTTGAAAACTCTCTTTCATTCTTAATTACCTATTACCTACCCATCCAGACCTTTGAAAAGAAGAAAACTAATGAATTGAATTATCGTAACAATATATTAATTAATTAAATATGATTAATCTGTAAATACTATACAGCTATTTAAAAAGGATTTCTTGATATATATACACATAGTTGAATTGATTCTAGTGTGACTCGTGCTTTTTGATAAGAATTGTGAGCATGCAATGAATAACAGTACGAAGTGCATTTATTTACCAAAATGTTACCATATTTATTTCCTTTTCTCCATAAGTAAGATCAAATGAATTATTTAATTTTTTGATAAATATTATAATCCAATTTATTAATTATGGATGAATTAGTTAGATATATAAAATTATAAAAAAAGTTAATGATATAAAGTTATATCAAATTAAATAGTTGAAAATCTGTTAGAAATTTGTTTGTTTTTTTTTTTAAAAAAAAAGTTTCCATCCACTATAAATCTGACTTATCACAACAATATTATTTAAAATGGTGATATAATCATATTATATGGTCATTTAAATCTGACTTATCTGCACAATAGTATAATTTGGAGTTTTCTTCTTGTCCTGCAATTTTATAAACCTTTGCTTCTTCATCTATATAGATCAGATACACCCATATATCTCTCTCTTCTGATACAAACAAAACCACCAAGCCCTATTCACCCCACCCCCACTCCCACTCGAAAGAACAGAACAAAGATCCTTTGACAGAAGAATTCTGAAAAACGTAGGAGGGAAGAAGATGATGATGGTGAAAAAACAACCTTCTTGTGTTCCAAACACAACCCCTTCATCACTAGGTTTAAACAAAGATTCCCAAACAATATCCAAACTGGTGAAGCCCAAGATCTGGATAATTCACATTTTCGCCCCGGAGATCATCAAGACGGACGTGGAGAACTTCCGGGAGCTGGTGCAAAGGCTCACCGGAAAGCCACCGGAGAAGAAAAGAGCGAGGGTTCCCAGGAAGGTCGTCGCGGAGTCGAGATGCGGCGGCGTAATTCCAGCCAAGAAAATGGTGGAGGTAAGAGCTGGGCTCCAAGTCCAACCCACAAGCTTGAGAGAAAAGATCAAAGATGAAGACGAGATATGGAGCGGTGGGAACTCCGGCGGCGGTTTCTTGGGCGGTTTGCCGGAGTTTGACGGTTTCATGGAGGAGCTTAACAGTATTCCGTTCCCAATGCTCCCTTTGGATCTTCCGGTCTACAATCCGGCCGACAACATCGCCACCTGATTCTAAACTTTGGTTCAGCTTAATTAATGGTGTGGATTAAGATCATCATGGCCGTTGATTAATTATTTTGATTCTGTAGTTAGTTACGTTGTTTTTTTCAAAAACGTTTTTAGGGATTAATTTATTTAATTAATATTCTGTCTTAAGCTAATTATTTTTTTATATTATTATTATTATCATTTCTTGCTAAAGTTTAAAAGCTTTTGGTATATATAGTATGGATGCCATTGTGATGATGATGATGATGATGATGAGAGAATGCAGCTTAATTAATTGCCTATGGAGAAAGTTCCATTTGGAGGAACTTAGAGTTTGTTATTTGAGATCTTTGTTTTTGTCTAATTGTCTTATTCCAAAATTTAATTTTATCTACTGATTTTTTAAAATTGTTTTTGTAAATAAATAGCTTCTAGGATTATAGTTATATATGGATACATATTATATGGAAAAGATTGTTAGTTACACTAAAAAATTTAATATCCAATATGATTTTATACAATTATTTAATTTATGGTGAAATCAACACAATTTAAGTTTTTCTTTAGTGTTGCTTACTGCATTTTTTTTTTTTTTTGGTGTAATAGCATGGGACTAAGTTGCACCAAAATCTTTCTTAGACCAATGGTAAGATATTGATTGATAAATTATTATTACTTTTCTTGCAAGTTTTGTTTACTACATTTGTGAAATACATATAAAACTTAGCACGAGTATTGAATTTCAAAACCACCATTTTGATTGTTTCACACTAAGTAGCACTGTAGCAACACCTTTGTTTTTCCGATTCCTAATTATGGTTATGATTGGAAAAATCTAACTTCGTCCCACTTTCCAAATTATATTGAATTATTGATGGGGTTGGAAGTAAAATGTGTTGGTTAGATTGGTATTGCCCTGAAAATTTATAAATAATAATGATAATAATTATTGTTGTCGTTATTTTAATTACTTCTCAATATTTATCTCCTGACTTGAAAATAAAAAATTAAAATTAATTTATTGACCATCGTAAATTGCCTAAACTCGTCAGCGTTAAAAAAAAAATCTATTTATTAATCTGTTAATAAAATGTTTAATTGAAAAATATGTTGCAAAAGAATTGCCTTTTACTCTTATGTATTGTTAAGTGTTTATGGAACAAATTAAAACAACTGTCCAAAATATAGCTCAGCCGTTGTTTTAAGATAGATAGAGTTTGAACTAGTGTCTAAGTACAGTTCAAGATAGTTTATGAGTCAGGCTTATTGTGTTGAGACTGAACCAGCTGAGAAGGTTGTTCGAGCAGAAGATTAAGACAGTTATTCAGTTAAGATCTTTTAAGGGATGACTACTTAAGACATTATCTTCTCTCTTTTACGTTGCAATAATCAAGCACTTTAAGAGAATATCAAATACATTTTCCCAGCAATTTCAGAGAGCTAAATCAAATGACTTGATAATCCTACATGAGTTGATAAAGATTTCAACATCAAGTCAATCATCTTTCTTGTTTTTGATTATGGGATGTTTACTCATGGAATTGACGTTACTCAACTGCAATTGAGGGGGAGCCTCAATTCGAGTGATCAGGAGATCTCACGCCGGTTCTTCAAGAAGGAGCTCTTAAGATATTAGCTAAGTCTTAGCAATTTACTTTTGAGTCCTTTGTGTTCTTCACTGTGATTCGGTATATCGCTTCTGACCTTAATTAAGATCAATGAAGAATCAGGCAATCATTTCATGTGATGTCCCCCAGACGTAGGAATTGAATTCTTTAAACTGGGTTATCAAACCATGTGTAGTGTTCTTTATTGCCTTCTTGTTATTCTGTATATTTTAACTAACTCCTAAATCATTCAGAAGTAATTGCACTATTGCCAATCAATTGGCTTAATTTCATAATCAAATATGAAAAGAACCAATTAATCATATACTACATACATATATGAAGGTGAATATAGCATCACTCAATAATAAATATGAAATTTTAGTAATGATTATTTAAACTTTTAGTTAGAAAAAAAAAACACTTTCAATATGTTATACTCCCACCGTCCCATTTTATGTATCTGGTTCGGTTAACGAGGCTTGACTGGAGTAATTTTTAATTCAATTTTCATAATATTAAATTTAGTATTAGTAAACAAAAATTATATATTTAAAGACTACACTAAAAGTACTATTAAACAAAAAAAAAAGTCAAATTTAAAAATAAAAAAAAATATTAAAGAAACTGAACAAAGAAGAAAGAGTTGTTTTGACCAATGAATAATAAGTAAGACAGATAAAATGGGACAGAGAGAGTACTATCATAAGAACTTACTAAAAATAAATATAAAATAATAAATGTGTAGTTTCATTATCAATTCAAAATTATGATTAAGATATATCATATTTGTACATAAAGTTTACAAAATGTTGGAGGGACTAATGATCGATCTCATTTCATGTCTTGGACATATATATATATATATATATATATATATATATATATAGCAATTTTATGGTGTTACGCTTTCAAATTTACTTACACAAAATATTCTTGACTTTTTTTTTTTTTTTTTTTTTTTTTGTTAGTAACAAGAAAAATTTACAATCACTACATACTTGATCGAGGGTGTGCAATATGAGTAATTCCACTTTGTAACCCTAAATGTCAAAGGACTACAAGGATGTTGTAAGCCTACCTGGTTAGTTATAGACAACCTATGTTAATTTATCTCATTGTGGCCTTTTGTTGACTAGTGTTACAAGACAGATTTCACTCAAAAGGATGCAGGTTTTCTGTAAATTTAAAAATAATAAAATTAAAACAAAGTGATTAGATGACTAATTGAAGGATTGCATTTAATGTTGACTTGAGAAAGCCAAAGTCTACCCTTTCCGTATATTTTAATTTCAATATAATTAGCCAATTATGTTAATGATTTGTTTAGGGGCTAAATAATGTAACCAACTTGCAATTTTTTACTTTTTGATCAATGTTATTTCCACACGAAAGGTCTTATATATCTTCATTATTTCTTTCTTCTCTCTTTCCTCCCCCGCCCCACACACACCCACAAAAAATTAAAAATAAAATAAAATAAAAACTATGTTACTTTATAATGTTTCAAATTTACTAATTCATTTGACTTATCTTAATGAATTCTTATATCCAAGCAAAGGTATAATAATCTTGTTTGGCAAAAAAAAAAATATGGATTATGAATTGTCATCATTTTTTTTTTTAATGTTTTCAAGTCTATAATCTATATATAATTAGAATAGATTGTAAAATATTGACCATCCATAGTTTGTAGAGTATACAATTTTTCTTAAGTGTCAATTGGTACTTGTGTATTTTGTATGAGGTACAATTATAACCATATGTTTAATTACATCGTGTGATAAAATCTGGTATAAATTAAAAGACATTAATGTCATTCGACGCCATAAAATTAATTTCCCATAAAGCTTATAAGATAATGTTTCATGTTTGTTCTTACAAATATTTGGGTTTTATTTGTGAGAGAAATTGTGTTGTTGATTCTTTTGTTTTAGAATGCATGTATATATGCATTGCGGACTTACTGATTCTTTGAACTTTTACTACTGTTTGTAGAGATTAATTAGTTTGTGTTGAAGTCAACATGTAATTTCATTATTTAGGCGGAGAAAATTGATTATGTATGTATTTTTTTTTATTGGGTGAGTTACTGAGTACCTCGTGAGACGGGTTGAATTAAGATATTAATGTAATATTTATATTAAAAATGTAATATTAATTTGAAATATATTATTTGTCACTTATAGGGAAAATTGTAATAATATTTTTGAAGAAAAATGTAGTACTTTTAAATCAAAATATAATATTTAGAGTTTGATCGAATAGTTACTTATGAAAAAATTATAATACTGATCAATAATAAATTATTTAATCGTTACTTATACTTATGAGGAAATGTGTGATGCTTTTGATGACAAATATAGAACTTTTAACTCAAATATAATAATAGGAATTGAAAAATTACTCATGAAAATTTCACACAAATCACGAATGAAGATTTATGAGATGGACTCATAATAGATATTGCCATTTATATATCATATATACTCGCTATCGGATTCTTTCAATATATGTTTTATGAACAAGATTGATTATGACGCTTAAACCAATTTGTTGGTGAAGATTAAAGTTTTTTTTAAAGCACATCACATGTGTCACTTTAGTCCCCTATATTTTTCACTCAAATATTTTGATACTTCAACATCTATGTCTGTTTAATGATCCGTCCTTTTATTTAATGATGAATTAAATAGAGTAGAAATTTTAAATATACTAACCTTCGGATTGTTGACTTATCACAAATAAAAATCTTAAAATATTGATAATTTTTAATGGATCAAATTTACCATAAACTAGATAATACAAGAAACATAACGATACAATATTTACAAGACTCAGGGCACATGCATCGAATGTCGTGGGTTACAAATAATTAAAAAGTATAAAGAATAAAAATCAGGCCAAGAGCCCGAGCGAGTCCTTGGATTGCTAGGCATACTTCTTTGATTGGTATGGAATACAAAAGACAAAAAAT